AAAGTTTAAGTTGCAGTGATTAGGACACAATAGTATAAAGCCCTTGCTCTCAGTCTACAGTCTAATGCCTGCCATGCTCAGTCATCTCTGCACTCCTCCAACTGTATCTACAATAAACAACCATACTACTGTGAGAGACATTTCATCACAAACAAGAAACTCTGAGACGCATTTGATGGTAAAAGTGTTATCAAAAATAGAAAATATGGTTTTCATTTTAAGGACTTTCTGAAAAGTTAACCCAGGATAAAATATTTGTTCTGCCACATTTTTCAAAATTAAAAAAAAATCATTGATCTTTGAACTGCTTCCTAACCTGATTAGGACCCACTTCTTTTTTTTTTTCTGCTTATATGGTGCTGAGGAATTGAACCCAGGGCCTCATGCATGCAAGGCAAGCGCTCTACCACCGAGCCGCCTTCCCAGCCCCTAGGACCCACTTCTAAAGCATGTCACAGACAATTTTTTTTCCTCTATATTAACTTGGTTTATTGTTTAGTTCTTTTCTTTTTTTTTTTTATTGTGTCTCAGACATTTAAAGTACCTACATGAGCCTACTTGACAAATACAGAGTGTGGACTGCTATTGATTTAAAACCTCTCTGTTCAGCAACAGTAAACACACCTTAAAAACATACATAACAAACTGAAAGTCTTACATTGTACTTTCAATGTGAATATGGTATCTACAAGCTGAAGTAATGTTCTTACATTCTGACAATAACCCATCTATGAGATTATTTGACAAAAAAAATATTTGTTCCAAATTTTAATCTAGGTTTGAACATGAGTCTCTTCCTCAGTGGCACATGCAACTCTAAAACCTGTAAAAGTATTATTACTGAAAAAAAAATCTCTTGCAAACAAGACCCTACCCACAAGCAGTCAGGAGCTGAAATATGTGAAGGTATCTGCTTTGCAGATGGTCAGCATCTAGAACATAGAGGGTACCTATAATGCCATACCGATAATCCCACTGATAGGATATTTAGGACATAAAAAAAGAAGGGTGTAAAAGATAACCTTAAGATTTCAAGCCTGAGGAATTTAGAAGGTAGAGCTATCGTCAACTGTACAATAACTGTTAAGACAGTATTTTGTATCAATGAAAATATCCAAAAGACAACTAAGAAAACAGATGTAGTTGAGAATCAGATCTGGAAATGTTGTTATACAACATTTTGTTGTTACACAAATCATCCACACATTCAGAATTTAAAACTGATCCCAGAGACTAGGAAAGAAGATTAACAGAGCATCTAAAAGGGACATGACCAAAGTGATCAGAGTATCACACATATAAGTGTCAGTGTGAAAGGTGATAGAAATTCACAAGGATTTAGTGTTCTCAAGTCAAGAAATAGTTTTAATTATGTGTGGTCATCCCTACAATTCTATCCTCTTTGAGAGCAGAAATGAGCCTCCATCTCTATGCACTCCAGGAAACTGGCCACAGTTCTTGACACATAGTATTCAGGGACTCCAAACCCTTCTATTATACCTGTTATTACATATTGCATCAACTGCTAAACACACATAAATTCAGAATTTTCACAGAAGAAGCTGCTGCAGGAAAATGCATAATGCATTTAAGTAATTATTAGTAACTCACACACTCAAAAGAATTTATCCTGAAGATCAGTGAATGTGGTCTCATTACCAAGCTGAGAACAAATTCAATGTAAGGGCAAGTAAGTCAACCTGCAGGTTCTTTAAGTACCCCAAAAGTAGCCATCACTCCTTCCTGTTCACTCCTTATAGAACATGCTGCAATAGTGTTAAAACAGTCTTACAGTGAGATAAGCTAACGTCTCTTCCCAGCCATTTCCCATTCCCATTTTCCCAACTCCCAACCAACTCAGCTAGAAGTAGAACCCTAACCAAATTCTCTCTTCATGAATTTAGAATTGAGAGTCAGATACACTTGCTAGGAACCATGCTGCAAAGTAAAGTGAATCTTGTATTGGAACTCTGACAAACCAAAGTGACAGGAAAGCAGAAACCAAGAGCTTTCAAGAGAAGGCCAGTATCCGTATGTAAGGAACTGGAACAGACCTACAGTGAGGACAGAGATAGAGGACTATGTGTTTCCAGAAAAAAAAAAAAATCAAAATTCAGACTGAAGCCTTCCTGGTTCCTAAGATGCTTAACTGGAATCAGAAGCAATGCTCCAAGTATATAACAAATGATATTTTTTTTTTAGGTAAGCTCATTCAAATGGCTTTTTCTTACAGCCAAATAATCTTGAAGCCATTAAGAAAGGTCAAATAAAGTCATTATTAGTGACTAACATAAAAATGGAATTTTGCCAGGTGCTGGTGGCAACTCAGAAGGCCGAGATCTTAGGATCACAGCTGAAAGCCAGCCCAGGCAAGAAAGTAAATGAGGGTTTTATCTTCCATAAACTACTCAGAAAAAGGTGGAAGTGATGCTGTGGCTCAAGTGGTAGAGCACTAGCCTTGAACACAAGGGGTAGGGACAGTACCCAGGCCCAGAGTTCAAGCTCCAGGACCAGCCAAAAAATACAAAAATATAATTTTATAGTTGTAAGTTTTCTTTTTTATCATGTTCAGTCCCTATACATCTTAAATCTGTACTCTGTATTTTAAAGACCTTTACTCCAGAATATGTATGTGTGTATGCATGCATATATATACATATGTGTGTGTGTGTGTGTGTATATACTTTTGGAAGGGGGAGGGAAGGAGAAAGGAGAGGGAAGGAGGAAGGGGAGGAGGGAGGGAGGGAAGAAGGCACCAGTACTAAAGTTTGACTTCAGAACCTGAGCACTGTCTCAGCTTTTTCACTCAAGGCTAATGCTCTACCACTTAAGCCACACCTCTTACTTCAGCTTTTTGGTTATTAATTACAAATGAGAATCTCGTTTTCTTTCCTGCCCAGGATGGCTTCCACCAGCACCCAGTTGGGAGTATATTTAATACATTTATATATAGAAATGAAGAGAAAAATGAATATTTAGAAATGTGCAATCTGTTTTGAAACTAATAAAGCATCTTCACCACACTAGTTTACATATCCCCTTAACTCATACAGAGGTTAGACCTTTTCCTGACCAGTCTCCACCTCTCATTCCACCCAGTTATTTTATTACTAATAAGCAGGCCCCTTCATAAAAGAAAAATCAATTTGCCTAAATAATTAGTAATTACCCTATCCAAGGTTACTTCAATTACTTTTTAAAGCAACAAATGACCTAAAATTTGAAATCCTTGCAAAATCATTGTAAAAAAACAGTAAGAAGTTCTGGTTTCCTACCTCTTTGCCAAGATGGCATGGGAGGGAGCATTCAAATGTAGACTAGCCTCCTTTGCCCCCTGACTAAAGGACATTCTCTAAGTTTTCCACTTTTTTTTTCATACATGGATAGAACTCCTATACCTATTTATAACTAGAAAGTTCCTTTAAATGAAGAAGTATTACATATTGTTTGGTCCAAGTTCCTTTTCCAGATAGTAAGTTCCTAGAATTAATACACTAAAGTTAAAAGTACCATTCTTTTTTTTTCTTCCAGAACCTAACTAAATAAAAAGAGGGACTTCTTCAGCTTCTAGAGTTACCCTTGGACTTAAAGAGGTTAGAGAAGACTACAGAATTTCCCACTGTTGATGGGGGTCTTAGGCAACTCCACATCTTCAAAAACAGAAATAGCACTGGCCTGGGAGTATAGTCACATAGCCTAGGAATACAGTCACAAAGTCTTTACAGTCTTTTCAATAGTGAAGCTCTGTGGATTCATACACCAGTCATGAGCTCAGCTTGAGCTCAATTTTTCCCTGATTCCCTCAGATTCTTTAATCTTTCATAAATCGTCCTTACAGCCACAGTAAACGTGGAATTCTCTATCAACCTTTGGGTCAATTTTGTCTGAAGGGTCATAAAACAGTATGACTAACCAGGGTATTACTTGAAAAATGTGTATTTAAAAGCTTCATGAAATGGCAGTACTAGAACAGGTGACACGAATGCCAAGGCACTGAGCTACCATATATTCTAAAATCATCAAGACATTAAAAAATCATCTTTGCATATTATTATTCACCTTTTCTGAACATTATTGTCTGTTTTCATATATAACGTAATTACCATCACTCGACATAACATCCCTAACAAGGGACAAGGAAGCTAAGGAAAGCTAAGCGTTTTGGAAGAGACTGGAGAATTACAAAGCTAAAATGCTAACCGGATTATCAACTCCAGTTAAGGCCATAAGCTCCTGCCAGCATTTCTCACCATCTAGTGACTTAATACCTAAACATCTCCAATTAATAAGATTTTAAAGAGCATTCGCTGGGGGGGGGGGGAGAACGGTTAATAAACCATACCACAGGAGTGTTACAGATCTTAGTCACTGTCATTTTGCCAAAGGATTGTGTTTTAGGTTTTAGTGCTTTAGCTACAGCTACACTTTCCTTATTTATTTTTTTTTGGAATCATACTAAGTATTATCAATCCGTTCGAAATTCTGAACGATCAACACATGAAGCCATGAAGGGCCGGGAGAGAATCTCACAGCAAACGCAACCATCGATTCTCAGAAGAGCCACTGGACGCCTTGGGTTTCCATCCCCGGGTCTGGTTCCAGGGCTCAGGGCTTCTGACAGCCAACGAGACCGTGTGGGGACAAAGTGCAAGGTCCTCCTCTTCCTGTATCTGCTCCCACGCACGCCCCCCGCCACGCGCCCGCGACCCCCGCGGGGTGGGAACCGAGCCTGTCACCCCGCGGGGCCGCGGCGCCGGCGCCACCCCTGCAACCCCCGGACCCCCGCTTCCCTCACAGCCGGGGCCTCCCACCGCCGAGCCCAGGCGCAGAGCTGCTTCCCCCGCAGCCAAAGCGGGGGCTGCCGGCAGGCAGAGAGGCCCGAACGAGCGAGCCTCCCTCTTTCCTTCCATCCATCCATCCATCCATCCCGGCCCCACCCGCCGCCATCCTCGTCGGCGCGCAGCTCTCAGCGCGGGCGGGCGAGGCCGCGTCCGGCTCACCTGGCGGCCGCAGCTCTGGGGCAAGTCACCGGCCCGTCATCACCGGCCCACAACGACC